GGCATTCCCTAATTGTGTCAGTCCCTGCTTTGCTGCTTTCCTTCTCCTGAGTCACCTGTCCAGCCCATCCCACTGCCCCCATCTCTGCAGCTGTGCGAGCACTTCATCGTGAAAGGGTTTGCCTTTTCACTCCTTTGTAGACTCCCAAGCTGATGTGACATTGGGTTGGTTGCTCGTGTTTTTAGGTGGGTGTTCTCTGAACAGCAGAAAGGGGTGAATGACAGGTAAGGAGTGTTTAGGGGAAGCCGGGATCGTTGGGAAGGGTGCTGCACTGCAGGTCAGGATTCCTGGGCTCTAGCTCCCCTTTGCCATGAGCCTGCTGTGTGTCTTTGGGTGAATCACTTCCTTTCTCTGGAAGCTTCCTCACCCATAAACAAAAGATTCAGACAAAGATAACTTCCTGTTAGCTTTGATACTCTATGATTAGCTAAAAGTCCTGTGAATTTCAGTTACAAGGAGAGAGAAGAACAAATAGAAAATTTTCAGGAGGGGGTTTATGATAGACCTGTGGACTTTCACAACAGAAAAATAAAAGCTTTCCCTTTTGTTTTTTGAGGGACAACTTAACCAATTGGACAAAGACATATGCACAAACACATTCAAAATGCCCAAGAGTTCAGAATTATCAACTAAGTTCTTGGATCTTGTTGCGTGTAAATTTTGGCCAAGAAGGTTTAGGACAATCGGTCAAGAAAGTGAAGGGGAATATCATCTTGGAAATCTCCACCATTAGCATCATCAAATATTTTCTGAGCTTTCCCCAAGATAGAAGCACTGTTTGCAGACTGGCATCCAGACTTTGGTGTTAAGAGTGCCTACAATTGAGTGAGAGATCCTCACTGAATTTAAAAGAATCTTTAAATATCTACTCCAGTGACTCATAACTTTTTCTGGGTCACAGAACCTTTGAGAATCTGAGGTTAGCTGAGGACTCTAGGCCAGTTGTTTGGGAAAGAGGGTGGCACACACACAATTTTTGCATAAAGTTTTAGGATATTCACACCTGAATCATTCTGAGAGCTCCCTAGGAGTCCACAGACCCCACCCAGGTTACGGACCCCCAGTCTATTCTACTTTTACAATGACAGCACTGAGGCCTGAGAAAAGTGACAAAACCTATGTGATGTCAGTTTGGGTCCTAAAGAGGAGAAAGCCAATCAAACGGTATAATCTGAGGGCATCACGTTTAAATAAAAGTATTCAGGAAAGCTCTGTGTCTTCAAAGCATCTGAGAAGCATAAGAACAAACTACAGCCTTAGAGAAAGGAGAGGAGAGAGGGAAAGACGACAGGAAGATGTGCTTCGGTGAACTCAGAGGGAACATCCCTTACTGCATGGAAACTAGGTTAGTTCCCCAGAAAGGTAAGAACAAAGGCATAGACCCTCTTTGAGCATGGAAATCAGAAGTAGAAGGGAAAGCATGTGATGCAACTTACAAGAAAAAGAAAATTTTAAATGTTAAAATACCCACCTAATAAGGGGAAACATTTTCCTTTGA